ATACACTCCCCAACATATTTATCCCGCTTCCTAGCATAAACATTACAATCACTCACTAGAAAATCGGAATCACACATAACTAACTCAACGGATTTTATATAAAAGATCCAAAAAATCCTACTACACCGCAGATCTGCTTGTAAGTTTTGACGTAGAATCCCTTTTCAAGTCCCAATAAAAGACACATTAAACATAATAAAGGCCTCACATAAATTCCCCTCCGACCTCATCCCACTAATAGAGCACTGCTTAACAACCATTTCTCCTATAACAACCAATTTTATGAACAAAGTTCAGGAGCGGCAATGGACTCCCCTATTTCTCTTGTAATCGCCAACATCTTCATGGAACATTTTGAGAAAGAGACTCTCAGAAAAATACTAAAAAAAACCAGAAGTTTAGTTCCGTTATGTAGACGACACATTCGTGATATGGAGACAGAGCCGAACTCCGTAAATTCCTTATTTTCCTCAACAATCAACATCCAAATATCACTATAGATATAAAGGAAAACGGAAAACTCCACTTCCTAGATGTTCTTGTCTCTAAGAAAGCTGACAGTAGCTTAGACCATCAAGTGTCACAGAAAACCAACACACACAGATAGATACCTACATGCCGAATCGCAACACCACCCAACACAGAAACAGTCTGCAATCAACTCACTTGTACATAAAACTTTTACCATCTCTGACAAAGAACATCTACAGACAGAACTCAACCACTTAAAACTAGCCTTACAGAAAAATGGACACGACAAAAAAGACATAATCAAAATAATCAATAAACATGCAAACAAGACAATGGTCTTTGACGCACAACCAGACAAAAGAATTCTATCCATTCTCCTATATGTCAAAGGAACAACAGATCGGATTGGCAAGATATTAAACAAACACAATATCCGAACTATCTTTAAACCACCTAAAAAGATAGGACAAATCTTAAGAAATCCTAAAGATCAAAGACCTCCACTCAGCTCCGCAGGAGTATACAAAATACCTTGTTCCCAAGTAAGTATACATTGAAGAAACCGGGAGAATGGTCAACCTACGGATAAAAAAACACCAACGTGATGTCAGGCTAAAACACGTCACACAGTCAGCATTATCAGAACACAATATTGAAACAAGACATCAAATACTGTTTAATAAAACGACCATAATAGCCAACATTACTTTAGACTTTCCAAGAAAGTATAGAAAAACATAGACAAAAACACTCTAACAATCTAAATAGAGATCATGGCTACAACATAAATAAAATATGGAAAACCATTATCCCGATTATTGAAGACCAACCAATTCCCTCCCCTCCCCCCTCCCTCCTCACTCACAATTCTCTTCTTTCCCCCCACCATTCCAACAAATGGCGTAATATAAAAAGGAACGGCCCGGAGGAACAGCTCGGTATCAGGCTACTTCTCGCCCTGATAAAGTGAGCTGCAAGGTTCACGAAACGTTTGCATTCCAAGAATGGATCTGGACACGGAGGAAACCCGCATAACTTTTATATATTAATATATTTGTTCTGCGTATCCAAGTAATTGTAGATTGTTATATGCGCTCGGTTAAATGTAATTTTTTAATTTACTTCATTATTGTACAGTGTATCAGGAAACAATGATTTCGTAAAATTAAATGTAACGTTGAAAAAAATCCAAACTGAAGATTGAAACGTATGTCTGAAAGATTAAATAAAGGAATTATTTCACACCAAGATCCAGTGCATGACTGACAAAGGTATTAATTTATTGATTGATTCATCTCAAAGGAGCTTTGATTCAACGTAAATCAATTTATATAAAAATATAATTTCTAATTATAATTATAACTAGAAATTATATTTTTAATAATTATAATTAGAAATTATAATTACTTTATTATACAATTATAATCATGCCGAAAACTTTTTTCTCACAAGTTAATGTACAAAGGATAACCTAAAATCTTAATTTTTACGGTAAATTCTTTAATCGAATTAGAATGGAAGTTAAAATTTTTTATCTGTAAGTTTTTATGGCGATTTATCTTCGGATGTGAAGAATCGCAGAATAAATTATAGTTTTGCAAAGTACGTAAAGATAATCGGGTATATATGTACAAGAAATGCATTTTCCTTGCGAAATGTGTGAAATTATGATTTGTAAAGTTTGTTTGCGCGAAAGTGTTTTAATGAAATTGGAAACATAAATCTTCGATTCTTTGCCATAACTATTCCTTCACTGATTACTTTAAGTGCATTTAAAAATCTTGTCCTTTTAATATCGTTTTAATATCGAAAATCTTGTCGTTTTAATGTCGTTTTAATACCGAAAGTTTTAATGACAACTTGTTTAATCCCAAGATGCAAAACATGTAATTACTATTCGCAGTGTTTATTTATTTGTTCGAGACTTTGTGATATTCTACTAACATTAATTTACTGGCATATATAGAGCGGTGTTCTCTGCTTCATCAAAAAGTAAGCACGCGTTGCCTAGTTTGAGTTAGTCGCTTTAGTTGTTTGCTCGCTTAAGGATGATTCTTGATTGCATTTCAGCAAAATTCTAGAAATTTCTCGCGCTTTCCGCAAGAACTTAACTTTCTACAAAACAGTAAGTGACATTAATGACATAAAACTGTTGTGAAAACATTATTATTTGTTAACAATGGTTTTTAACAACAAAATGAACTTAATATAATCAAATTCTCAAAATTATAAGTTCTATAAAAATTTTAATTTAATAAATCTTATTATTTTTTTATAAAGATTATATTGTACAAATTGCATTTGTATTCTGTTTTACGTTGTAACATTTATAATTTTCACTGAACGATTGTGTTAATTGCACGCGAAATAGATATCTGTTTCAATCAATGAATATCAAAAACATTTTTGTAAACCGTAATTTTATAAACTAAGAAAATTTGCGATTTTATTGTCCATTATACACAAATTAAAAAAAAATCATAATGTGATTTTAATAATACGCAGAATTTGTAAAAATGATACAAATTTCGCATAGATATCTTCGCTATCTAATGCTTCTGTCGACAATAGTAGCACTTTCCAAACGGTTTATATCACAAGCTACTTTGTTTCAGCAACCTATTTTCAAATTATAAAATATTGGGTGGATCCATATATTCGTTCGCTTTTTGTTAGTAGTGCAAATTTTTTCCGAATATCTCCGGTTCTGGTTGCCTAATCGGGCAATCCAAATATGTTTTGGAAAGGTGACAGTCCGCTCTTTTCATCTGTCAAATTTGGTTTCATTGGCATTAGTTTTGTTTGTGCTATAGACCTGTGAACATGTCGGAGAATAAGGTGCATTTTCGGCACATTTTGCTTTATTACTTCAAGAAAG